CCCCAGCTCTGCAGCCTTTGTCAGCACATAGTCTATCTTCCAAGGTACAGCAAGCAACCATTTGACCAAATGTTTTGCTAACATGTAATTAGAAGTACCAGCTTTCCAGGCTGTGATATCTGAATTCTTGATACCTGGACACCTCTCTGCCTACTGTAGGTCTCCTTAGGAGTCCTCCATCCCCTGCCCCATGCTAGGCCTCCTCCACACTCCAACCCAACCTCTGTGTACTTACGCTTTGTGTATTTTTGTCTCTCTTTTGATTCCAGTATCTCCCCACTATTTTCTAGAAAGTAACATTCCTCTTATTTTCTTCTAAAAAAAAGAAAAAGACAATTACATTACAGATCTATTCATGTCTAGATAATAGAGGTTAGTTTTTACATACATTTGGGGAAAAATATGGAAAACCTCATAATTCACAGGGCATTGGGTAGAGTAGTCAGAAATTTCTTGCCTCAGGGTAAAGAATAATTAGCCCTCAATTCAATGCTCTTCTTATCCCAACTAATAAATATTAAAAAACAATATCAAAATAAAGTGTTTTCAAGTAATTCAACTGTGCTCCAGAACGAGGCTCAAAAATATTTATAGAAATAGGTAATCCAATCACACTATCTGGCATTCAACTTAAAAAATTACCTAGTACATAAAGCAGCAGAGAAATATGATTCACAGTGAGGAGAAAAATATAAATCAATTGAAACTGACCCAGAACTTACACGGATGTTAGGCTCAACAAAGACATTAAAATAGTCATTTTAACTGAACTTATATAGATGAAAACTACAACGTGTGAGATGAAACATACACTACTACAAGAAATATTAAAGGAAGCCCTTCAGGAAGAAGAAAAATGTCACCACATAAAAGTAGGACATAAAGCAATGAAGCACATCAGAAATGGTAATAATATGAGTGTGTTTATATTTTTCTTATTTAAAATTTTTGAAAAAGATAACTAAACAACACAATAATAATGTAATATGCAGTTTTTTCTTTTTTTGAGACCAAGTCTTACTCTCGTTGCCCAGGCTGGAGTGCAGTGGCACACAATCAAGGCTCACTACAGTGTTGATTCCAGGGCTTAGATGATCCTCCCACCTCAGCCTCTTGAGTAGCTAGGACTACAGGCATGAGCCACCATGCATGTCTAATTTTTTTTAAAATTTTTCTAGTAGAGATGGGGTCTTGCCATATTTCCCTGGCTGATCTCAAACTCCTGGGCTCAGAAAATCCACCCGCATCAGCCTCCCAAAGTGCCAGGATTATAGGCATGAGCCACCACGCTCAGCAGTAATATGCAGTTTTAACATATATAGTCGTGAAATGCATGATGAAAATAGCAAAAAGGCTAAGGGAGAAAGGAAAGTACACTGCTGTAAGATTCTTGTATTATACATGAAGTGGCATAATAATATCATTTGTGGAAGGTAGACTGCCATAAGGTGTAGATGTTTACTATAAACCCTAAAGCAACCATTAAAATAACAGAGTTATAGCTAATAAACCAACAAATCAAATAAAATGGAATTATAACAGATATTCCATCCAAAAGAGGGCAGGAGAAAAAAGGAAGCAACTGATGGGACAAAGGGAAAATAAATAGCAAGATCATAGACTTAAAGCTTCTTTTTTAAAACTTTTAAGTTCAGGGGTACATGTGCAGGTTTGTTACATATGTAAACTTGTGTCGTGGGGGTTACACAGATTATTTCATCACCCAGGAATTAAGCCTAGTACCCATTATTTTTCCTGATCCTCTCCGTCCTCCCACCCTCCTCCCTCTGATAGGTCCTAGTGTGTGTTGTTCTCCTCTGTGTGTCCATGTGTTCTCACCATTTGGCTCCCAGTTGTGGCGATTCCTCAAAGACCTAAGGAGAAATACCATTCGACCCAGCAATCCCATTACTGGGTATATACCCAGAGGAATTTAAATTGTTCTATTATAAAGATATGCACATGTATGTTCATTGCAGCACTTTTCACAATAGCAGAGATACAGAATCAACATAAATGCCCATCAATGATAGACTGGATAAAGAAAATATAGTACATACACACAGTAGAATACTATGTAGCCATAGAAAAGAATTAAATCATGTTCTTTACAGGGACATAGATGGAGCTGGAGGCCATCATCCTTAGCAGACTTAAAGCTTCTAATTGCTACCCAGGGCCCCTACAAATGCATCCACCACATGTTACCTCCAGTAACGGAAACTCACATTGCCTCCCCCCTGCCAACCCAATGGTGCTGCAGTGAACATAATTATATATTTCCTCTTCTGGATCTTTGTGCGATTTCTTTGGATATATGCCCCAGAGTGGACTTCTGCACCAGAAAGTATGTATATACATGATTTGACTAAGTCCCGAGACTTTCTGCAGAAAGGCTGCACTCATCTACACCTCCACCATCAGTGCACAAGCGTTCCTGCATTTCCATATCTCTTCCAACCTGGCCCTATCCAGCTTTCCCAGGTTTGCTAGTGTAATAGGTGTAAATCGGCATCTCAATGTTATATAATTAATGTTTCTCTGGATACTAATGAGTTGGAAAATCTCTTCCTTTACTTGTTAGCCTTTGGGGTTTCCTCTTCTGTACATTGCTTATTCATGCTATTTTTCCATTCAAATTTCTATCTTTTACTTGTGCATACATGCAGGAGTTCCTGGAACACCGTAGCTTGTTAATTTCATTTATTGCAAATATCTTCTGTCACAGTCACTGTTGATTAACTTTGTCCATGATGTCTTTCAACTTTGATGCAATCAGATTCATCTTTTTTTGGGCAATAGGCGGCTTATGTTTTATGCTTTCAAACGTTTCTTTTGGAAATTATTTACTGCTTCTAGTACACAAAAATATTCTCCTATATTTTCTCCGATTAACTTATAGCTTTGTCATTCACATTTCAGTCTTTATCTGGAGTCTACCTTTATATGTGGTATGAAGTACAAATCTAGTTTTCCTGACTCAATTTACTAAACAATCTGTGTTTCCCCACTGATCCTTAGTGCCACATTTATCATATATTAAATTCACAAGGTATTTACCAGGAGAGAATAGAAATATTTTAACTCATTTCATTAAGAGCATGAAATGCCTGTCAATTTATTCAGGTAATCTTCTATGTCCTTTAACATTTTAAAGCTTTCTCCTTGATGATTTTCTTGTGTATTCTTGGTTATTAACTCTATACTTTCAGTTTTTTTGGTGTTTGTTGTTTTCTTTTACCATCAGTTAATGCCATTAGTTTTTGCTGGTATAGAAAAGTGCTACTTATTTTTTTTATTTATTTTTATTTTTATTTTTTGGAGACAGAGTCTTGCTCTATCGCCCAGGCTGGAGTGCAGTGATGCGATCTCAGCTCACTGCAAGCTCCACCTCCCGGGTTCTCTCCATTCTCCTGCCTCAGCCTCCCGAGTAGCTGGGACTACAGGCGCCCGCCACCACGCCTGGCTAATTTTTGTATTTTTAGTACAGATGGAGTTTCACCATGTTGGCCAGGCTGGTCTTGAATGCCTGATGTCAGGTGATCCACCTGCCTCGGCCTCCCGTAGTGCTGGAATTACAGGCGTGAGCCACTGCGCCTGGCCTGCTATTGATTTTTATAGGATGATCTCTCCAGCAACTTTGATGAGATTTTTTTATTAGTTCTCGTAAAATTAGTTCTAACACTTTGTGGATCATGTTGGTTTTACAGGCATATGGTCATATTATCTGCAAATGATGTCACTGTATCTCTTCCAATCTTTATGCTTCATGCTCTCTCTTTTCCTTGTAACTTTGGCCAGAACCTCCAGGACTAAACACTGAAACCATATTTTCTATCCAAAGGGTGAGAAAATTATGGCCCACAGGCCAAATCCAGCCCACTGCCTGTTTTCATATAGCCCATGAGCCAAGAACATTTGCCATTGATGTGATACTAGAAACACTAACTTTCAGCTCCAATTCAGCAAACTGTTATGCCAAAAAAGAATTCCCTTCTTCTCATTAAAAGACGTGTATTGCAAAATCATTGTATGCAATGTTATATCTTGAGTTTCACCCCAAAAAAATAGTAGACATATGTTTTGCTGTTGTTATATAAATACCTATGTAATATCCTTGATTGCCTCTTGGGCTTCAAAGCCTAAAATATTTTCTATCTAACCCTTTGGAGAAAATGTTTGCTGATCCCCCTTTCTATCAGCCTTTACTACAACTGCCTTTTTTTTTTTTTTTGGAGATAGGGTCTCACTCTGTCACCCAGGCTGGAGTGCAGTGGTGCAATCATGGTTTCCTACAGCTTCAACTTCCCAGGCTCAGGTGACCCTCCCACCTCAGCCTCCCTAGTAGCTGGGACTACAGGCATGCACCACCACACCAAGCTAATTTTTGTATTTTAGTAGAGATGGGGTTTCACCTTGTTGCCCAGGCTGGTCTCAAACTCCTGGGCTCAAGTTATTCACCCACCTCGGCCTCGCAAAGTGCTGGGATTACAGGCGTGAGCCACCGCACCTGGCCACTCCAATTGTTATTTACTATAGTTGTTTTGTGCTGCATTTCCCCCCAAATAAAAACGTCTGTCAAAATGAACCACTTAGAATGCCTTTAATAAAATGGGCATTAAATTATACAACTGTGTGGTTAAGGGGCTTTTTTGAAGTAGTCCTGTTACTGCTCATCTTTAAACATTATGAATAATTTAAGCCTGAATGGAAGAAAATTAGATAAATGTCAAATACACTTCCAGAGTAAATATCAAATCAGGACATTCTGAGGTTATTTCAGGAATTCAAGGACAACAATGAAGACTCCAAATTTCTATTCTTGGCATAGAGAACGTTGTTTTTCAACACTCTTATCCCAAGACAGAACTTTCGTTGAAACTGTCTGTTCCTGGAAACAGACCCATCGTAACTAGCTGTTGTTCTTAAAAATCAGTATTTCAGGAATATTGTTCCACTGGTTTCAAAATGTTTATGATGGCTCCGTTTTTGGTTATTAGAACAAGAGACAATTACTGGTTAACCACTTGGTGAAGAGAGAAGTAGAGTGTCTGGTTGATTGGAGAGCCGGGCTCTGCATATCCGACCTGGTCAGCAGTACCAAGAGCCATTACCCAGTTGCCCAGATTCCCACAGCCTAACACAACTACCTTCATTTCCCCATGTTCCTGTTATACCTGAATTAGCCCTGAGCACAGTTTTCCTCAAAAACCCAAGAACAATTCCACCTCTAGACTCTTCTCCTTGCAGTTCCCTTTGTCTGAAATACTCATCCCCCAGATGTCTGCACATTGCACTCCCTCACAACCTTCTGGCCCCTGGGGGTCACCTCACAGAGGGTAGCCCCCAGAACCCCAAGAATAAAGGAGTACTCTTTCCCCAACCTCCTTGGCTGGTGCCTCATACTTATTTGTTGCCTGTACCCACTACCTCTAGAATGTAAGTGCAACAAAGAATTTTATTTGTTCACTGTGGTATCAGCACCAGAAACAATACCAAGTGTGACACAGGCACTCAGTGTTTGTTGCTTTAATAAGTGGGCTTCTGGCCAGGTGTGGTGGCTCATGTCTGTAATCCCAGCACTTTGGGAGGCCGAGGTTGGCAGATCACTTGGGGTCAGGAGTTCAAGATCAACCTGGGCAACATGGTAAAACCCCGTCTCTACTAAAAATACAAAAATTAGCCAAGTGTGGTGTGTGCCTGTAGTCCAAGCTACTTAGGAGGCTGAGACAGGAGAACCACTTGAACCCAGAGGCGGAGGTTGCAGTGAGTTATGGTCATGCTGCTGCACTCCAGCCTGGGCAACAGAGAGACTCTGTCTCAAAAAAAAAAAAAAAAAGCGAGCTTCCATGACCTGCATAGGCAGGAGTAGAAAACCCATTCTCTTTCTCCATTTCTTGTCCTAGTATCTTCAGGAGGATGTCTCAGTTCACACTGAAGAATGTGGGCCCTTTCACATTTTGCCCACTGGTGGGATGGAGAGTACTCTAAGATGGCTTCATAAAATCCTGGGCTCTTGGAACAAGGGCCTAGTTATCCCTTACACATACAAGAGCAGGCCTAGCAATCGGCCTCCAAGAGAAGAACTGGGGGCCATGACCTTCCTTCGCCACCTTCTACAACCCTGGTCACAATGCTACGTACCTCGTTCATTCTCCATTCTGTCCCGCCTCCCAGGGGATCTTGATAAAAGTTGGGATTTAAGATGCTAATGAAGTGGTAGACACATAACCGGCCAGATAAAGGGAAACAGGTGTTTCTGGAATATGACTCAGTCTTCTGAGTTCAGTTAGGGTTGGGTAGTGGGGGTTAAGGGCACCAGAGATCTCTAAATATGCAGATAGAAATGAAAAAGTAGATTTGCAAGGTTCAGAAGAAAAGGACTGAGCATGTGGGAGTCTTTACCTACATGTTACTGGTTTCCATTCCCTCAAATCAGTTTCCCAATCAACTCACAGGCTCTTGCAGCAGATAAAGATATGAGACTCTGCTCAACAAAAATAAGGGGATAACCACCTTAGTGGTCATCTTGTATGAAACACATATTGCTATACCTCTTCCCCAAACTGACAGCTATGCCTGCATCTTCACATTCTTTAAAACCAAGAAAAGATATCTCCCCACCATTGAGTTGCTCCTCTCCATACATCTTCACTGTACTTTTTCATCTCAGTTCTAAAGTAATATAATATCCATCTATTTGTTTCACAACTGTAAAATGGGAATAAAAATAATACGTAATGGATTGTTGCAGAGATTAAATATTGCAAAGCACTTGGAATAGTGCCTGACACACAGTAAGCACTATTTGATAAGTTTGCTATTATTCCATTAATACATTTCTTCAGTTTGTTAATTTAATTGTAATTTTTATATCTAGTTTCATATTTTTGAGACTCACCATGGTATATTTCTGTGTAATTCATATATATTTTTATGTTAAGGTAATGTTAAATTCATAAAATATATGAGAGTGTTCCATCTGAAAATAATTTTAATGGCTTTGGGATAACCTATTTTAGAGATTATGATTCAAATTACAAAGAATGTATCTGTAAAACTGTCAGGCCATTATCTTTGGTAACTGTCTTTTTTCCGTTTCCTATTTTTCTTGGGCTGTGGTATTGTGCTGTCCACCTGTGGCTTAAATCATGTTCTTTACAGGGACATAGATGGAGGCCGGGCGCGGTGGCTCAAGCCTGTAATCCCAGCACTTTGGGAGGCCGAGGCGGGTGGATCATGAGGTCAGGAGATCGAGACTATCCTGGCTAACATGGTGAAACCCCGTCTCTACTAAAAATACAAAAAACTAGCCGGGCGAGGTGGCGGGCGCCTGTAGTCTCAGCTACTTGGGAGGCTGAGGCAGGAGAATGGCGTGAACCCGGGAGGCGGAGCTTGCAGTGAGCTGAGATCCGGCCACTGCACTCCAGCCTGGGAGCACAGCAAGACTCCGTCTCAAAAAAAAAAAAAAAAAAAAAGATTGTATGTCCAATGCCTGAACCCTGAAGGCTGGTTGGTGAGCTGAGGCCATGGTGCCCAGCAGAGGAGCAGGTGGCCCTCAGACCCCAAACATCCTGGAGAGTATCTGAGAATCTACCAAGAAAAACAACTTCATCACTCAAACACAGTAAGCAAAGAGCCAAAAAATTAGCTTAAAAGCAGTTTAGACACTGGAAGCTGCACAGATCTCTAGAGTTGTCCTGCCGCGGTCCAGGAGTGTCCTGTATGTAAGTCCTAATAAACTCATCTATTCCTCCAGGTAGACTTAGCACAGTTATTCTCTGGTCTCTCAGCTCCTTCTCAGTTTGGGGGGTGGGGAGGGGGACATTATAGTCCCAAGTATTTCATGTACCACCACCAAAGACTCATGGTCCTCCTAGGCACACTGAAAGCTCATGTTGCTCTGTGACTTGCTTTGACCAGTGAAAAATGAGGGTAAGTTCTCAATGTTCTGGGCATGAGGACTTTTCAAAGCAATGATTTGAAACTGCAGCCAAAGATGAAAAACAGTTAAGGATGGAACTAGTTGGTAACTAGAATCTCTAGGACTGGAGCCCAGATACAGTGCCCTGTAGAGGGCGTACCCGGGGCAGCCCAACAAAGTTTGGACACCTTGGAAGGAGTCTCCTAAAGTCTTAGGACTCAGTTTTTTGCCCTCCTTGCCTCCTTTCCTCTCCCTTTCTGCCTCAGAGCTTGAGATGAGGGATGTGGCCGCTGGGTGCGGAGATTGCAGATTGGTCTCTTCAGATCCGCCCCGGTGTTCAGAGGAGCCCTAGAGAATGCCTTGGCTGGCTCTTAGGGCCTCTTTAATGCCCTGGTCTGGCTCGTCTCACCTGCAGGACAGAGAGGTGCCCCGTGAGTGGGCAGATGCCTGGATGCTGGTGCTGTGCTTCCAGGGTGCCCGCGGCTCCCCGGCACAGTTAAGAGCCAGGTGTCTGGAGCCCAGCCAGAGGCCTCTTCCAGAAGGCCTGGGGCTCTCTCTGGCTTCCTCCCATTCTCTGCAGATCTGAGAAGCCAGGTTGCCGAGGAGCATGGAGGGGAAAGCAGCTCAAAAGGGCTGTAGGGAGATTGGGGAAGGATGAGGCTACAACCGCCTCACTAAGGTAGGGGCAGGTGCAAATGCTTTTTAGAAGCTTGGGGTCGGTTGGGGAGCTGCCAGACCTCTCTGGTCCCATCAGGGTGCCCGCAGGGACTGCAGACCTTGGAATCAGGGGCTGCTATAGGGGCCATATGTTGACAGAACCTGCAGCTAGTGAGTGGTTTGTTGCTCCCCGCTGCCCGCAGGTTAAGGGCAGACCCCAGAAAGTGTTTGGAAACTAAGGATTTCTTAGTTCCTTTTCCTGCCAGAGCCCAGGGCTCACCTAGGTATCTCCAGAATCTGGACCTTGAAATTATTTTGGAGCCTTCACTTACACTCAGCTTCAGTAGGGGCCGACCTCAATGCCCTTTGGGAACTAAGGGACCATGCACCATAACAGCCCAGGGCCTCATCCCAGCATCTCCAAGGCCTGAGAGTCAGTGCTGTGTGGAGTGTCATTAGGTCTACCTTCCAAACATAGCCATTTCCTGTTTCACATCAGAACAGTTTTGATATGGATAGACCCCTGAAACCATCACCGTGGTCGACAGTGAGAATGTTTCCCTCAAGTTTTCCTATGTCCCTTTGTGATCTCGCCCTCCCGCAGTGTCATCCAAACCTTTTCTGTCACTATGGTTTGCACTTTCTAGAGATTTCTATAAACACAATCAACAGTGTATACTCTTTTTCTTTGGGCAGGGGGAGTCTGACTACTTTCACTCAGCATAATTATTCTGAGATTCACCAAAGTCGTGTGTGTCAATAGTCCATTCTTCCTTTTCATTGTTGAGTAATGCTCCATTGTATGCATATCTCACAAATTGTTTATCCATTCATCCACTGATGGACATTTAGATTATTTCCCATTCTTGGCTATTACAAATAAAGGTACTATGAACATTCATATACATTTATCTTTTCTCTGGGAGTGGAATGGCTGGGTCACATAGTAGGTATTTAAAATTTTAAGAATGTGACAAACTTTTCTAGAGTTGTACCATTTTACATCTCCATCAGCAGTGTAGGAGAGTTCCAGTTCCTTCAACATTTGGTATTTTTATTTTTAGCTCAGGCTGGCCTCAAATTCCTGGGCTCAAATGATCCTCCTGCCTCAGCCTCCCAAGTAGCTGAGACTAGACTTGAGCCACCATGCCTGGCTTGCACTTGGTATTTTAAAAGGGAAAAATTGTAATGTGTTACAGAGAACCCAAAACTTCCCAACAATTTCCTAAAATCTAAAACACATTAAGTGCCTGTATGAAAACAGCAAACTGTAATGTTGGGACATAAAAAGCTTAAAACATTATTCATCACCAAAAATTAATAGTTGCTTTGCATTCAGTAAGCCTGTGGTGCTTTTCTTGATGCCATCAGAGACACATATCACTTTTGTTGGGGATTCTGAAGTTCTACCTTTACGTGGAATGTAACATGAACTTTCCCCACAGATTGTTTAAAATGTTGCACTAAGTTTTTAAATGTAAGCAAATTTTTCCCAAACTGCCCAAAAAAATATTGAGATACAAATATTCTATGATAATGTAGATATTAAAAATTAGGCCAGGCACGGTGGCTCACACCCGTAATCTTAGCACTTTGGGAGGCCGAGTCAGGTGGATCACCTGAGTTCAGGAGTTCGAGACCAGCCTGGCCAAAACAGTGAAACCCCCATCTCTACGAAAACTACAAAAAAATTAGCCAGGCGTGCTAGCAGGCGCCTGTAGTCCCAGCTACTTGGGAGGCTGAGGCAGGAGAATGGCGTGAACCCAGGAGGTGAAGCTTGCAGTGAGCCAAGATCGCGCCACTGCACTCCAGCCTAGGCAACAGAGCAAGACTCCGTCTCAAAAAAAAAAAAATTAGCTGGGTGTGGTGGCAGGTACCTGCAATCCCAGCTACTCCGGAGGCTGAGGCAGGAGAATCTCTTGAACCCAGGTGGCGGAGATTGCAGTGAGCCA